GCCTGATATGTCTGGGTGGATCTCTTTTCCATTCAACTCTATACTTGCGGTCCCTTTCATTCTCTGGGAAATTTTTTTCTGTCATTTTCCCCTTCTATTCTTTTCATTCTTTGGGAACTGTTAGATGTTGGGAATTTTGGATTTAGTCTCTATATTATATAACTTCTTAAAATAAAAAATTTTGAGTTTTGCATTCTGATATATTGCATTCTGAGAAGATTCCTTGACTTGATCTCCCAGATTTGTTCTTAAGTTGCGTCCATTCTGACATCTGGCCGGCCCAGCTACTGAGTTTCTTGTACATGATGTCCTGTTTTAATCTCTAAGATGTGATAGACCTGTTTTTATTAAGGAGTTCTGTCTTTTAAAGTCTGCTTTTATTTGTCTTACTGACACTTGTTTCCTTGGATGTTATTTCTTCTCTCACTAGGTTTGGTGCTCCTCTTTAGTTGTATTGATTTTCTAAAGTATATAAACCAGTTTAGAAAGACTTCAGCAAAAAATAATGGAAGTGTGCAAATGAAAATATATTTTGCTATCTTATTCCCTGATGTTGTTAAATTATGTGCCATCGAGTCAATTGCGAATCATAGTGACTCTATATGACAGAGTAGAACTGCCCTATAGCATTTTCCAGGCTGTAATCTTTACAAGAGAAGATTACCAGGTCTTTTCTCCCATGGAACTGCTGTTAGGTTCAAACCACCTACCTTTTGGTTAGCAGCTGAGTGCTTAACCGTTGCGCCACCAGGGCTCTTCTCCCTGATAGTGTTGGATAAATTAGGCTTTCCTGTGAATATATCTGATCCTTGTGATTATGCTGGTTGAACCTATACTAGATCCTTCTTTAAATTAATTAGTTTTTGTTCATTTACTGGGTCTATATTTAGTGCTTCCTATGAGCTCGGCATTGTATGGGGTGCTAGATGCTATTAACTGTTTATATTAAAATACATTGATCTGGTGTAATTGTGCGAAGAAAAGCACTGGGAATTTATTTGAATGAAACAATATGATTTTAATGAAATGGTTAAATTCCAAGAACATAATTTCAAAATATTGCCAAGAAGGAGTTGGAAACAACAAACCACCGCTCAGCTTCAAACTTCTAAACTCTCAGAAGTCGATAATGGGTATATCTTTGATTATAGTCATAACCAGCACAGATTACGTCAGAGTTTCAACAATAAAAGACTCCAGAGTTCGATGTTATTTTATCTGTTTTCTTTATGAAATAAGCGCTGGACTATTTGTCCTTTAACAAGTAGGTTTCTTCAACATGTTGTGATTGAGATACGTTAGTCATTTGTTTGGACTGTATTAATTTGGAATTTGGCAATGAACTTGGATTCTGGTTGTTGGGTGGATATCATCCTGGCTCTCTGAAAATTACATGTAATTGGAATTTATGAGAAGACTTACTGTTGACTTTCTAGAAACTTCTTTATGCCACATTGCCAGTATTTACTGGTATATAGATATAAGCTAATCACCAATTAGGCCTACTTTTTACTTAAAAGAAGTCTGTGAGGCTCACACCTTAGTTATACTTTTTCCTAGGTGCGAGTTTCTTCATTTTCCAAAAGAGAAATATACTTTAAACTTTTTCTCTTCCTGAGGACATTTTGGAAAACACGCAAGTAACTGGATGATATTTTGTAGTCTCTTGAGGTGTTCGTTTTTATTGCATGCCAGGTGTTGGCGGGAAGAGCCTTAGCTGTAGCAGTAACCTCTGACCTCTTGTTTGCCACAGATCCCAGATTACAGGAATGCAGTGATTGTGGCCAAGTCTCCAGCCTCCGCCAAGAGGTAGGTAGGAGCTCACGACCTCTCTTTGGGCCTGCATCTGAGAATCAGATCCCTGGCTGAGTACCAGGCCTTCAAAACGTTCCCTTGGTATCCTTTTAATTTTCTTTCATGGACTGCATATTTTAAAAGACTTGTTCTGCCAACTCTATATATTAAGTAATGTTTTCTTTTCTGCTTTTCTTTTTCTTTTTCAATTCCAGTCAATGATTGCTGGCCTTTTTTTTTGATCAAACCCATGTAGGCCTGGGGAATCCTAGGTGAGGAAATACTGGTGTAGTGCTTTCCTCACTCACTCTTAGATTAGGAACCGTTATTATTGGTCTTCAAATCTCTCATTTAAAATACCAATGAATATGCTTTGTAGTTGTTTACTGCCTCTCATTCAAAGATTTCAGTAATTTATTAACAGAATAGTATTCACCTGAGAGGCTGCTTATTTGTATGTGTTAAACATTTGTATGTGTGAAACAAAACCAAGACACCCTAAGGCTTATATTGGGCAGCCTTGAGAGGGTCAGTAGAGCTAGTTGTGTGTGTCCTGGGGTAACTAGTTAGTCAGTAATATAATACCTAAAATTGCATTTTGGTTGAGAGGATTTCATATTCCAGTGTTTTGTGGAGAAGCCATTACAATGGAGAGGGAAGGGACAAAATGAAATGTAAGAATAAAGTCTTTTTCCTAAAAAGGCCCTTTAAAAATGATTCTCCAACTTCCGGCAACATGGCGCTCTAGGCAGAAGCACCACACTGTCCCTCCACAGCAAAGATCCGAAAAACTAAGCCAAACAGAGAAAACAGCAATCCTGAAATCCTAACATCAAATGAAGAGATAAAGAACTCAGCAAAGCACCAAATGGAAGAAGAAACTGACAGAGAACAGAGAGCGAGGAGGCATACACGGAGTGGTCCCCTATCAACTAATGCAGCACGGATCCACCGTCTTGGACTCCTATCAGAGACCAGCAAATAGAGGGTACAAGAAAGCAGCTTCACGGAGCTTCCAGCAGGAGACAGAACAGCTGGTAAACAGTGATATACGCTTTCCCACCCACCACCCTTCATCACCCCCACTCGGCCTCCTCTGCTCTCTGTGGCCACAGTCACTTGGCCAGATAGCACTGGCTGCTTGTATTCCACCCGCCTGCGCTGGCTGACTCCCTGAGTGCCATTTGTTGGCTGCTGGTGTTGCTTATTTCTGCTGCTTTTGATTTCCTCCTTACCTCTCACCACCTCCCCCTCCTTTTGCTCAAATACCTGGCTCCGTGCACCATCTTTTCTTCTTTCTGAAGGGCGATGGAGCTCCATTCGAGTGTGGAACTGCTTCCCGGTCCATGCTGCCACGCTGGTGGGATCCTGGGGCTTCTTTTTGTTTGTTTCTTTTCAATTGTTTGTTTGTTTTCTTTTTCTTTTCTCGAGTTCGGAGCCTGTTCTGGCCGGGCGGTGTTGTGCGGCTTGGGACCTACCCCCTCAGCTTGTGCAGATGTGCAGAGGGATCCCTGGGAGCGTTTCTTTTCTCATGTTTTTTTTTTTTCCTGTTTTTTCTTCTTGTTTTTAAATTTGTTTTCTTTTTTTTTTCCCCCTTTCTCCCTTTTTCTCTTTCTTCATTACTCAGTTTCTCGTCTCTCTATACCTTCATTCTCTTCCTGTCCCCTAGATACCTGGTGCTGAATACCTCTACGCCTCCTAGCCAGGCTGTAGTTCAACACTTGGGAACAACTTCCCCAGATCTTGTAACCGCACCGGTGGGATCCCTGGGAGCTTTGCTGTTTCTTTTTTTTTCTAATTTTTATTCATTCATTCTTTTTTCCTTCTTCTTCCCCTTTTTGTTTTTCTCCATTTCATAGTCTCTCATCTCTCCAACGACAGGCTCCCCTAGCACTGTTTTTTGTTTGTATGTTTTTGGCTCCTGTTCCTCTCTCCTCTCTCCCATACCAATCTTAGCTCCACACATCACAATCTCTCCCCTCCATCCTACCTACCTGCACCGAGCGCTTAACATCACACCACCAAGCAGCACAGGCACGGCCTACTGGAACATGCCCTGCACTGATTACCGAACCGCCCTGGTGGCTGTAGTAAGTGCCACAAACAACCCATCCCAGCAACCCCTCCTCAGCTAGACCTGCCCTGCTGTACCGCATCTGAGCAACTGACCCTGCCAGTTGGAGAAGGAGGTGAAAACTATCCTGACCACAGACGAGCAAACAGAACACACAGCCCACCTGCTCAGACATAGCCAAATTAAAAAAAAAAAAAAGGATGAAACAAACAAATCTATAATCAGTAAATGAGAAAAATAAGTACTGAATGCCCCAAAGACAGCAGACTATCAAAACATTTACAAAAACAGGACAGGATGGTTCTAGTAGGCTTCCAAAATAAAACATCAGATGACTTTCCAGTAGAAGAAAAGGCACTAGAACTACCTGATAGGGAATTCAAATCTCTAATACTCAGAATTATCCAAGAGTTGAAGCAAAAAGCAGACAAAAATGAGGAAAAAAATAGACAAATTCATGGAAAAGGCAGACAAATTCATGGCAAATGCAGACAAA